CCAGTGGCATCTGGACCGATTACCGGCGAGGAAGGCCGGAGCCCCATCGACTTCTCCGGGCGCTGTATGGCGCTCGTGCTCTGTGATCTTGTATCGCCACTCATCGCCCAACAACTTTCGGATCGGTGGGGCACGGGTTCTAAATCAGTACCCCACTTGTGGACTACGGCAACCTTAGCCCTCTTGCTTAAGGCTGGAAAAAACGGGTCTGAACCCAAACACTTCCGGCCCATCGGACTCCTAGACGCGCTGGGTAAAGCGTGCATAGCGATGGTCATGAGAAAAATCAAGTTTGACTTGGAAACCTTTGTCCGGAGCGCCCCCCAATTTTCTTACATAGCCGGTAGGTCGACGGAGGACGCGCTCCGACGTGTCTTCAGCCACTGCGCCGAGGGCCGCCGGTTGCGTGCAGCCCACGCGCGTAACCCGCACCAGCGGTTCGCAGGTCTCAAGATCCCCGCCTTCCAAGGCGGCGTGCAGATCTGCTTGGATCTTGCATCTGCTTTTGACACTGTACCCCACTCCCTGGTTCGCGAAGCTCTTCTCGAAGCCGGAGTTGAGGCGGGGCCGGCCTCCCTCCTCCTGGCCTGGCTGGAGTCCTGCTCCTATGATCTTCACCTCTCGGGTCTCCATACCAACATAATCGCTAGGCGAGGCGTTAAACAGGGCTGCCCTGCGTCGCCTCTGCTGTTCGCCGCCTGTACTGTTCTCCTCGCCCGTCGCATCGACCTTCGTTTAGGATCGTCATGGGTGTCTGAACACTTGACCATGTTCGCTGACGACCTACACCTGGCCTCACTGTTCCATTCGGTTGCGGAGTTTGAGCTGGAGTGTCAGCGCCTGGGGGCTGCTATCACTGTTCTGCGGCAACACGGGCTAATCATTCACCCTTCAAAGGCTCAGGCCCTTCTGACGTGCACTGGTTCACAGGTCAAGCAGACCCGCCAACGCTTTGTGAAGCCCCTGCCCGCACCCGCTGTTGGAAAGGGTCTGCGACTCCGTGCCTCGGGCGAGGATGTTCTCATCCCCCGCGCGCGTAGCGCGGATTACCTTGGGGCCGTAATCTCGTCCGATTGCTTTTCAGCGCAAACTCTGGAAAAGCGTCTGGCCCAGGGCCGGACTGCACAAGTTCAACTGCGTAAGGTGCTCAATGCCCGGAAGGGGTTGCTTCTCACCCAACGCGTCCTCCTCTGGCGCACTACTGCGTGGCCCTGCCTTCTCTATGGCCTGGGGGCCTGTGGTCTTACTACCGCTCACCTTGCCTCCCTTCAAACGCTGGCCCTTAAGCAGCTCCGGGCCCTCTCCAACTCTCCTGCGCACATCCACCATGAGTCGGATGCTACCCTCTGCCTTCGCCTTGGCGTGCCCATGCCTCGCGACGCCCTCCGGCGTCTGCATGATCGTATGCTCTGCAGACAAGTCCCAAGGGACGACTTTGTCTTTGGGCCGCATGACCCTTGGACCCTCTATCTCGGTTCCTGCTGGGATCCGCCGGCCGTGGCTTCTTCTCCAGCCGTGCCGCCTCCCTCAGCCTCTGCGTGCCTGGCCCCCCCACCCGGTCTCGTGCAGTTAGAGCCCCAGCATCCGTCATTGCCAACATCCCTGCCTCTCACCGCAATTCCTCCGCCTAGGTCGTCCGAGACTCCTCTGCATGCGCATGAGCCAATTGAGCTTCCTGTGAGCTCTGCCCCTGTCGCACCAGCCACTGCTACCTTGACGGATCCTCCACCCCTGGCCGCTGTGGCTAGGGCCTTCCCATGTAGTCTGTGTGACCGCTCGTTTGATACGCGCAAGTCTCTGAAGCTACACATGGCGAGGTCGCACCAGCAGCATACGGCCACTATTGTCTTCAATCGAGCTCTGCATGCGGTCGCCGGTCTTCCCACCTGCGCCTTCTGCAAAAAGTCCTTTACTCGATAGGTCTTTCATCACACATCACTAACCGACGCTGTGAAGACTTCCCGGAGTCTCTGGCTTTTCTCCCCTCAGTGGTGGCGGACCCTCCGCCGCCAGCGCCTGTGCAAGCCGGGGTCTCGCCAGACCGGGATCTCGCCGAAGGATCTGCGGCACCAGCCTCAACCTGGGCCGACCCGGCTGCTGCAGCTGTCTCTTCCACTGTCCCCGTACCTGCACTTAATCCTGAGCCCGATCCCCCGCCGACCCAGGTCGCTGAGGACGCCTCAGCCCCGCTAGCTGCTGAGGTTGTGCGACAACTGCAAAAAGGAGGTGCCGCTGTACTCTTACGGTCTTCATGTATGAAATTGCTTACGCACTATTGCGGATTGTGTGGGCAGTGGCATGCGCATAGCCAGACCCTGAAACTTCATTACCGCAGCCTGCACAAAGCAGCAAAGCAGCCTTCGCCCTAGACGGGAGGGCACGTCAGCTTGCACCCAGGCTTGGTGCAGCTTTTAGTCCCTGTTTGTACTGCAACGAGTCCCGCACACACCCAGCTCAGCACATCAAGCTTTGCACCGCCCTTTGGCAGGCCCTACTTCTTTCACTGCACCATGGGTCTCAGCTCGGAACAGGCCGACCAGCAGATGGAAAAGGCCTTCGGACCGATCCTGAAGTCGCTGCAGTGCAAGAGGCCTGCAGCCTTGGACTCCGGAGCGCCATCGAGGGATCTCAAGGCGCAGAAGGGCCAGGATGGCAAGGGCCAGGGATCGAGGGCGGACTCCAAGGGCAAGGGCAAGAGCCGCGGGCGCGGGGGACGTCGTCCCGCGAAGAGCCCGGCTCCCTCCTGGGGCTCGAGCGCTGGTTTCGGATGGCAGCAGGCGGAGGAGGAGGCCATCCCAGATCTGCAGATGTGCCGCCTGATGGCGCGCACAATCGTGGAGCAGGCGGACACGATTGCAGTCCTGCGCCAATCGACTGCATGGGTGATGTGGATGCAGACCTCGCCTCCCTCCTTGATCCCGACTCTCACGTCAACGGCTGCTCTTTGGAAGGAGAAGGTCAGCGACGAGACCTCCGAGCTCTACGGCCTCGGTCTTCGGGCAGCCGGTTCGCGGCGACGCGGCAGCTGGCAGAATCCATGGAGGGAGTGGTGACCTTCAAGGTGGACATTCAGTTCCGCTCTCCGAGGGCGCATCAGCTCTACACCAATCTGGAGCGCCTCGCCGGCTTGGCGCCGCTGAACATGCTCGGCCTCTCTTTCCGCAAGGAGAGCTACAAGCGATCGAATGGGATCCAGAAGCTTGCAGAATGGTGTGGCTGAGGCGAGCTGTGTGGACCAATCCTGGTAACCTGTGTAACATGAATGCGCTTTTCAGGTGTCTGTGCTGGGCCCTGGTTGGCTTTCACGGGTGGGAGCAGGCCACCTCCAGGTTAGGTGTCGCGGCTGTGCGCTCTCTCTCCCTGCGCACTGTGCCCACCTGCCCCTTCGATCTTCGCAGCTGGAGGTCGCTCCTGGTGAGCTGGATGAATCCCTCTGCTCAACATGACTGCGCAGAGCTCTTAGCTCATCTGGTCGAGCGCTTTCGCTCCAATCTGCTCTTCCTGGACATGCTTTTGACGATATTATATCGTCAGACCTGGGTTGCCTGGACTCTGACGATATTTTTCTGATCCCGACGATATTTCAAATACAAGTAACATCCCGACGATATTTTGACATATTTATGGATCCCGACGATATTTCCCGAGTCCCGACGATATTTCCGGAGCCCCGACGATATTTCCCGAGTCCCGACGATATTTCCGGAGTCCCGGCGATATTTGCCAGAGTCCTGACGATACTTTCCCGACCCCCGACGATATTTCCAGAGCCCGACGATATTTACCCGAGTCCCGCGACGATAGTTCAGGGTTTAAATTTGACGACCTTAGTGGACGCGGCGTTTTGACGATGTTAGTGCTGTGCTTGCATGGTTGCGTTCGCGTCCACAGCAGACAAAGCAAGCGCAACCAAGCAAGCAACCAAGCCAGCAACTCATGAATCCCAATGAAGTGCGACACGATCAAGTGTTTCAAGGTACATTCAACACTTCCCTGAGCAATTGGAGCAACCTACCAACCAAACAAGCAACCAAGCAAGCAACCGATGAATCCCAGTGCGATACGCTCAAGTGTTTCAAGGCAAGAACAACAATTCCATGAGCAACTGGAGCAACCACGCAGTCGATCAATCAAGCACATCAATGCACATCAGTTCCCAACTCACCGACCGACGAATCCCAAGCAAGGGCGACAACACCCTCAAGGTACACAGCAAAGCAACTGGAACAACCATGCCACCAGCATTCCAAGGCAACGTCGATGCGAATTCCAAGCATGCACAACCGACCGACTGACCGACCGACCAACTAAGCACAAGCACCCAAGCATTCCAAGGCAACGTCGATGCGAATTCCAAGCATGCACAACCGACCGACTGCAGACCGACCGACCAACTAAGTCACGCCAAGCACAAGCACCCATCTGACTTCGATATGTTTGCCGGCATGCAGCGTGTGCCCTACGGGATGGATTCAACTGCAATTTGCTTTCGAGCTTCGGTGTCTTAGGGGAAACCTGAACGGGTTTTACGTTGGTAGCGGAGCATGGCTGGTAGTGGAGCATGGTCTTTTGTTGACGCTTGTAACTTAATCGCCATGGCGGCGGGAATATGCTGCAACCGAGATTTAGGGCTTCCAACTCATAAAGGGTTTAGAAATCATGCTGGTTTGGCAAGAATCGTCAGCACCGGGGTCGGTCTGTGACGTAGTAGCTTTGCGTTTTGGGCATTATTGTTTTGTGGTGCTCTGGTGGGTTTTAGTTGGAAGGTCGAGCAGCTGCATGCTAGACTCTTATATCACTTTTTTGGACCGTATACGTCCTGGAATCCAGGACATTTTGTTTTTATGTCTCTCGAGTGTTGACTTTAAACCAGGGGACTGTGATCACTCGTAGCACTTTTTATCTCATCATGCGGGACCATTGAAAGCTCTTCAATGTGATGTAGCGACGAGCCCAAGATACCAGTTGCACCGCCGCATGGCATCCAGCAGCCACACTCCTTAGCTGATTGACTGAACAGCTGCATGCCCAAAAAGGGTTCGAACTACAACAAATAAGTTCAGACAGGGACAGACAAGAGTGATCAGTAAACAGCCAATTTTCTTCATATACTTCATATGGTCTTCGTCACCAAAGTTGGAACAGTGCATAAAGTTCAGCTTTGTTTGCGCGACTTCTGCGATCATGTGAGATGCATAGTGGTGCTTTGGTCTCATCTTGTAAAGTAATTGAGACAGTCCATATGCACGGGCAGCTGCGTATTGGTACAAGAGCAGGAAGGTTTCGAAAAGCCACACGGATTCTTCTGTTTCTCCATCGGTCATGTGGGGCTTGTGGGCGGTCCCAGCCACAGACAAGGCAGCATCGAGAGACCACAGCATACAGGCACGGGCCCTTCTCCAATGAGCTGTCTCGGAACTGCAATCGTCCGGGTCGAGCTGTTTCTCGAGCTCCACGGCGAAGTGGGTGACGAAGGCTAAAAGATTCCTGCATCTCGATGCTTTGATCGTGGAGCTCAATTCAGGATATTTCAGCGTCGCATTCAGCGAGTCCATTGTGATCGGATTTATTCCAAGATCCAATCGTCTTTCCTTGCACCACGCTTGAGCTCTGGATGTGAACCGGTACAGAATCTCATTCGGCTTTGGCGACTGGTCCTGCAAATCCAAAAACCTGGACATCTCACCTCACGGGCTGGCGGAGCTATATATCTCTACGGAGCTACAGCTACACAGAGTCCTGAGCGAGATAATGACACAAAAAACATCAAGCTCCTGCTCTTGTTGCCTCCCGGAGACCGTTCCGCAAAGTTTCCAACATGACAGAAGCCAGGAGGTCGCGGAGCACGCCCAGATGTACCAGATGCATGACTGCAGGGGCAGGTTGAAGTTGAAAGGCATGTTTTGTGCATAATATGATGACTTATAATGATGGAGAAACAATTATGTGCTTCGGCCCTGCCATATATCATATGCAGACAGGCCGCCGTCGTACAGCCGTCTGCGACGGGTGTAGCCCTCGACTTGCTTCCAAGGAGAAACATCGTTGGCGTGCGGAGCTGGGCGGGTGTGCTCCTCGGTTTGACGCCAGCCAGCTGTAGCACTCAAGTCGCCAGAGTTGAGGATGACGTCGCTGTTGCAAGCCAGACACCAGTCGCATATATACTTGCGAGTGTAGTTGCGACAGAGTTCATGGCTCTTCATGTGGGCTTCCTGGTCCCCTTTCCAGAATGCGAAGACGGCCTTGACCGGACAGCGTTTCCCAGCTCGCCGCTGCCTGTTTCTGAATTGCAGGCTTATCTAGCTCCATGGATATTTCTGTAAACCCCGAAACCATTAATCTGGACAAGGATACAGTACCCCTGCCTTGTGGACATCTTTGGCCACTCGTTGCCGTCCCAGTCGTGCATTGGAAAATATCCTTCTTTCAGTGACTTGAGGTCCCACGATATTATCCTGGCAATAAAAGTACGAGTTTGCTTCGCAATCCGAGATTGCGGAACACCAATGATGCAGAACCTGCTGATCTCGGACCTTTGGTTGGTCAAGGCTGAACACCACGACCAAAATACCACAGTCTCTCGCTTCGTGGTTGGCACACCGTCTTCATGAAAAAGCAGCGGATAAGGATAATCTGAGTGGTCGATCAGGCCCTTGTAGACAGGATCGATCTCGCGGTCCCACCATTCTCGCACAGATCCAAAGCCTTCAAGGCAGGAGGAAAGGAGCCCGCGCTTGCTCAACTCCGCCAAGACATCAGAAGGCAACACGATCGAAGCAGGTGTTGTTACCAACCTCAGAAGCAAATGAAACGGTGCCGTGTTGGACATGGTGAAGGTCGTCGGCAGGCGCAGCTTATAAAAGAACAGTGTAACATACCAACCAAATGCTTCGGACACGGGTCTGCTTGTCTTCCCTCTCTGCTGTCGTGCTGAACACAGGAAGTTGCACCTTGACGGGGTCGAAAGGGAGCCTCATCCATTTGTAGGCATCCCGTTCTTGTGCAGAGGACGCCATCTGCAGGAGGTCCCGTCTCTTCACACCGTCGTTGGCAAAGGCTTTCGCCAGTTTTTGGCTCTTAGAGTAGCTCATTGCCTTAGATACCATGGGTCGGAAAATGTGCAACGTTGCTTGATTATACGGCTTGTTCATCCTCACGGACAAGTAAGTAATATTCTCACCTGCAATTCCTGGCTGCTCCTTTGCCCACCTCTTCGGCGAGCATGCGAGCTCCATGAGATTGGAAATCGTCTGTAGATCTGCGGAAGCAGGTCAAGTTAGAGCATGCTACATCAGCACATGAAGTAACAAACGTGGCAGAATCACATCTTCACTCGACGCTTGCCCTCGCAGATCGTTTCGTCCATCCCCGCATTGTCGTACCTGCCAATCAAAAAATGCTCCATTCTGGTAGCAGCAGAGGGACAAAGCTTGGAAGAGGATCCTGATGCAGCATGTTTTTTTGCAGCTCGCCGCTGTGGTTCCGTACAATATACCTGTATAGGCTGCTGGTTCATCCAGCGCCTTGTGCGTATGTGCATGTTCACTGCAGTCGCAGTGATCGTGAGCACGATTGCACATGCTTTCAGATGTGCCCCAAAAGCACGTGCAGGTCTTGGCCCAGTACTTCCATCCGGAGCACACACAGACATATATATATATATATGTATATACGCCAAATACAGTACGTTACTGTCATAGACTCTGCACGTGCAACTAGCATAACCCTTGGAAAGAGGAGACCTCCTCCCCTATATGTAGCTGCACCGGCAGAGATCTCAATCCTGATCTGCACGTGCAGAACCCTGCACTATGATCCATTGGATCTACTGCTTGTCTTTCCTCTTTCTGCTAGCCTTGGCTTTGGGTTCCTTGGTCGGGCCCAAGGCTAAGTTGGCAGCTTTGATCAGCGAGGCGGCCGTCTTGATGGTTCGATCGGACTCCTGTTCAATGGAGCAAGCAAAGAGATGGTACTACGTATAGGTCATGCAAGAACACAATCTTAACGGACCGTGACCTGCTTCAGCACAAGGAACTCGCGGCCCAAAGGGAGGTAGAGCTGCTCGTCCTCAACCTGTTTCTTCATCAGGTCGCTGACCTGGTCCCACACATTCCTGGGAAAGCATATGGGAATTCAAGTCATGGGAGATGTCAGTTTGCATTGTCGATTTGGCTGCAAACAAGGGGGCTGGAACTTCTGCTCATAAGCCGTCAGCTCCTCCAAACATTTCGCAGCGTAGACGTTGCCCTTGAGCTGAGTAATCATCTTGTGTGTCTCAGTCACCTTGGCCATGACCTTGTTGCGGAGGTCTGCAGCTTTCTCATGGGTTGTCAGGGGCTCCATTCGCTGCGGTTTCCCTTTTCCAGGTTTGGGTGCTTTGCCCTCGTCACTCAGTGACGGAGTAGGATTCGAAGCCGGAGTTCCAGGCGGAGTTCTGGCCGGCGTCGATGGGGCAGAGCCACTGCCGATCGATGGCCTTGCTTGGCCACTCTTGGCCAGGGCTGACCTTGCGAGGAGAGCATTATAATAAGGAACTTGTTGCAGACACATTACAAAGATGTGGAGTTGACTAATTTAGAAGAGAAGGTGCTGCACATTTGCCAGATACTCTCGAGCTGTTGGATCCGCTGTGTCCAAAGCACCGCCCGAGGAAGTTGTCTGACCTCCATTTTTAATTCGAGTTCTACCACGTGAGTGCAAGCATGACACTTCCACGTACACAAATGCAGCAGTGGCACGGTCCAGGGAGTTCGTCTCGACTTCCCTGGCTGGATCTTACAATATTGGGACAGAAAAGCAAAAAAAGATACACATACACGAGGCCCTTGGACCGTCCTCGTCGACAAAGAGTGCAGATACAGCTTGGCACCCGTGAGGTTCGGATCGTCTTGAACCAAGCCCTGCTCCTGCTTTTCCCGCATGACTCTTGGAGCGTCCGAGCCGTACATCTTCTCCAGCTGGATGGCCGCAAGAGGCGTCAGTTTGGCTCTCTCTTTGCGGGCCTTCTCCTGCACACTCTCGATATGGTAGTGGGCGGCCACCTGCTCGAGGGAGCCGGCTGATTGCACCAAGGCGTCGATCAAGGCCGACTTCTGATCGTCGTCTTGCACGGCAGCAGTCAGAGCCGGCGGCAAGGACAGCAGCCGAGCCGGGTTGTTCGAGAGTCTCTTCAGGAGGTTAGCAGCTGCACGGCGAGTGTAGCCAGAGCCAGAATCGTGCTCCATCGACTCTGCAACCTGCTGTTGCACTTTTGCGGCGGGCAGCTCAACTTCTGCAGGAGCAGACAGCTGTTCACCGTTGGCTTTGGCCGGCACTGTTGACACCTGCGTGGGCGGCTTCTCCTTTTCGGCATGCACCTTCCAGCCGAGCTCTTCCAAGGCCTTGTCGGCCTTGTCCATGGATTGCCTGGCAACTGAGTCCAAGATGGACTTCTCTTTGCCAGCTTTCAGAGCCTGGAGTTGCTCTTCAAGCATCCTAATCTCGCTGTTTTTTTGGTCAGCGTCTCCCGGATTCGGGGCCGTGGGCTCAAGCATCCTAATCTCGCTGCCTTTTTGGTCAGCGGCTCCCGGATTCGGGGCCGTGGGCTGGGGAACTGTCCCTTGTGGCTTCGGGTGGCCGGCGTTGAAAGGTTCCGTACGTGCTGGCAGGGAAGTTTCAGGAAGGCCGTCCTCGGGCAGCTGCTCGGCCTTTCTCTTCTTGGCTTGCTCAAGCATTGCCAAGAGCTTCTTTCTTTTCTCCGCTTTGAATTCTTGGACCTGCGTGGCAGTACGGAGTTGATCTCCAACACTGCAAACATGATAGAAGGAAGAGGTTCGGCCTCGTGATCTGTCCAGCCCTTAAGGGGATTGCCCGCCGCATTGGTGTTCTCAGCCTGGTTTTATATAGAGTGCTTCTAGGCACAACCGCAGCGGAACGAAAACTCTTGGTCTGTTGAGGAAGCTCGACCTGGGAATGTGTGGAGAAGGACATGGCTGCGACTGTATGGCTACAAATTAAACTCGTCTCGGCACCTCCTTCCTCTTCTCCTCCTCCTCACATTTCCTTTCCGCTGCAATCCGCTCTTGAAGCTCGGCCTGCGTGGAGAATTGCAGGCAAAGCTAGTCCAGCCGAGGCCAATGGATTGGTTCCAGAGCTGAAGCAAGGTTTGGGGCTATCGCCAAGCACAGCCAACCAACCGACAGCAAAGAAGGTCTAACAAGCACCCCCGACGAAACCACCGACACCTGGACAAGCTGAATAGCCTGCATATAGAAACGTAGTTAATTTGGAAACAAGAAGAGGACCTGCTTTGTCTTCTCCTCCTCGGCCTTGGCTCTTGCGAGCTGTTCTTTGAGCTCGGCCTGGTGGACATGGGTGCGACAACATCGATCAGCACATACTGTTGCAGTCCCGAGTACATTATAGATTTTCTTGCTTTGCACCTCCTTTCTCTTCTCCTCCTCCTCCTGGCGTTTCCTTTCCGCGCAATCTCCTGTAGAAGCTTCTCTTTCAGCTGCGCCTGGACATGTGTAAACTACCGAGGCCTCTAGCTGCTGTGATTTGGACTGTTCAGTACATCGACATATTGATGTCTTTGGTTTCGGCACCTCCTTCCTCTTCTCCTCCTCCAGGCGGTTCCTTTCCGCGGCCGCCTCCTGAAGTTTCTTCTCCTCCTCGGCCAGGGCTCTTGCACGCTGCTCTTTGAGCTCGGCCTGGACACGGGTGCGACAACACCGATCAGCACATACGCTACTGTGAAGTGCAGTCCCAATTAAGTACATTATTACAGGTTTTCGTGATTCGCACCTCCTTCCTCTTCTCCTCCTCCTCCTGGCGTTTCCTTTCTGCAGCAATCTCCTGTAGAAGCTTCTCTTTCAGCTGTGCCTGGACATGTGTAAACTACCGAGGCCTCTGCTGTGATTTGGACTGTTCAGTACATCGACATATTGATGTTTTTGGTTTCGGGACCTCCTTCCTTTCCTCGGCCATCTCCTGAAGCTTCTTCTCCTCCTCGGCCTTGGCTCTTGCAAGCTGTTCTTTCAGCTCGACCTGCACATGGGTGCGACAAGATTGATCACCACATACTGTATCGTGCATTGCTGTCCACTTTTCCTGATTTGCGCCTCCTTCCTCTTCTCCTCCTGCAGACGGTTCCTTTCCTCGGCCATCTCCTGAAGCTTCTTCTCCTCCTCAGCCATGGCTCTTGCACGCTGTTCTTTCAGCTCGGCCTGGACACGGGTGTGATAACATCGATGAGCGCACATACTCTATTCTGAAAGGCAGTCCCGAGTACATTACTTATATTTTCTTGTTGTGCACCTCCTTTCTCTTCTCATCCTCCTCGTGTTTCCTTTCCGCAGCCATCTCCTCTTGAAGCTTCTTTTCTTCCTCGGCCTTGGTTCGTGCAAGCTTCTCTTTCAGCTCGGCCTGGACACGGGTGTGATAACATCGATGAGCACATACTCTATTCTGAAAGGCAGTCCCGAGTACATTACTTATTTTCTTGTTGTGCACCTCCTTCCTCTTTTCATCCTCCTCGTGTTTCCTTTCCGCAGCCATCTGTTCTTGAAGTTTCTTTTCCTCCTCGGCCTTCGTTTTTGCAAGCTCATGTTTCAATTCGGTCTGGGCACAGAGGCAACAACACAGGCACATACGTGAATTGGGCGGACAGGCACGAGCTCCTCCCTCTTCTGCTGCTCCAGCTTGTTCGTTTGTTCTTCTTGAAGCTGGGCCTGCGTCGAGAGCACAACGAAGCGGAGCAGCATGCACACAAACAGCAAGCATCCTGACTTGGAAGCAGGACGACGGCCTGCTTTGTTGGCTCGGCCTTTGCTCTTGCGAGCTCTTCTTGCGATCGCCAACTTCTAACTGCTTCTTCCAACCCCTGATAGACTGCCTCCCTGAAGTCATCCGGGTTCAGTGTCTCGGCCTCTGACACAGGCAGCTGCAGGTTGATCAGGCGGAGACACATTGAACAACATGCACATGGAGGTTATCTTCAACTTTTCTTGCCTCGCATTCTTTCGACTGCAAGCCCTTCTTCTGGGCTTCCAGCTCTTCCAGCAGCAAGGGCACCTCCCCGGTCATTTCCTGGGATCTAATTTGACAGTGCATCCAGGAAACTATCTACATGAGATGAAAGAGTGCAGGTCCTGATTAGTCAGCTGGTCGATCTCTGCTTCCAGGGCCTTTGGGCAGACCCCAAAGTGGACAGGATGCATGGGTTCTAACAGATGTGCATATCTTATTCACGAAT